TTAAAGTCACCCATGACAAGTTTGATGTCTCTTTTGTGCGTTGAGGCGATTGTGGACTGCAGTTGATTGTAGAAATGATCTTTTTTGCTGTCGTCTGCTATTTCCGTTAGTGCATAGCATTGAATGATTGTTATATTGCGATTTTTGGCTCGGAAACGAGCGGTTATTAATCGGTCGGAGACTGGATTCCACTCCATTAATGATTTTTTAATTTTAGTGGATATAACTATTCCAACTCCATTAATGTGGGTGGTTGAATTGCCCGAATATATCATGTAGTGATTGTCTGACGTTGTAATGTCCCCGCTGTTCTTCCACCGCACTTCGCTGAGACCTAGGATCTTAATTTTACAGCGTGTCATTTCTTTGCTTAGTTGTGCCAAACGGGATGCCTGTGCCAATGTCCGGATGTTCCAAGTGCCAATTCGTATACCTTTTTGATAGCTAAGGTTCATTTCCGTTGTATCCGTCCGATATCCGAGGCTCGTATTCGTTTCTCGAATCAGCTTGTTTCGGGTTTGCGGGTGATTGGCCCACAGAATCCTATCCAGCCGTCAGAGTTATACTGACTGTCGGTCGGCCGGAGCAACCGGTGATGGCCGTTTTTGTTATTATTTTTATTTAGGAATTCTAGCTGGATTTGAACTCGGGATCTTTGGCATAGGAGGCAAATACTTTGCCAGTGCGCTACGGCCATCACAATATGCAATTTTCTGTAAAAGAACAATATTATTAAAATAATATAATATGTTATATGCATATTATGCTACAAATATTTTGAGAAAAAATTATTTCTGCAAAATACTATATTTTATTTAAAAAAAAATCAAAATGATCAATTAAATACTCATATCATCAAAAAGATTAATTAGTACCCGTATCAAATGCACGTAAACTATCATAATCAAAAATTTTTTAATAATAATAATAATAACCTTTATTATTTTACTTTGTAAATAATAACTAAAATTATTATTGTATGTATATACACAATAAATTGTAACAGTAATGATAATAATATCTATTATAATTTACAATTTTATAATATTCACATACCAAATTGACTTTGTCCAAATAAATATTCTTCATTCGTTTCATTACGATCCATTGTAGTTATATTTATCCTAAAATTAGACAAATTATACTATCAAAAACATATTATTTCTTAAAAATACAGAATAATAGTTTTGTAGAAATTAATCCTCTCCGAGTAAACTTACCAAATCCACAGCAATAGCACGTAGAGAGAACAGAAATTTTATTAATATATCTGGAGACACGATATTAACTTAACCTTTTAGTTATGAGAAACACGCGTGACGATGCGCGACGATAGTAGTCCGAAATCCGAATTTCATAGACAGCACGGATTATAATCCAGATTGGTCTAGGAACATTTAGAGTCTTCAGATTGAACACCACTGCTCAATCCGATTTAGGGATCCGATTACTTCACGTAAGCACCCCGAAAGTTACGTCATTTTAATGTATTTATTTTGATTATAACGAACTTGTCTATTGTATGCGGTGCCGTCTATTAAGAAGATTCTTGTTTGTTTACAATGCATGTTGATATCAATAGTATTCTTGATTATGTTAATTCATGATATTTATGAGTTAAAGTTTATTCTTATTTAAGATTAATATTTTTGATTATATCGATTCATCTATTTTCTTTCTTTTAACGTTTATAATTGTATTATTCGACATATTTGATGTAATAAATGTTCAGATTAAAGACGCTTAGCGTCGTTCATTTTACGTTTTGCATTTGTTTCTCACGAACCTTGATTGCTATCGAACAAAGGGCAATTATCTGCCGAGGATGCAAAGAACCGTTGGAAATATTTGAGGGATTGTTATATGAAAGCGAAAAAAAAGCAACGAACTTACATTCCCAGCGGCTCCGGAGCAATACCGAAGAAAAAAAATACATTTCGCTTTTTTGAGCAAATGAAATTCTTAGATGACACCTTGCAGACGTCTCAGTAAGTTATACCTATTGCGATAGTACCTATTGTACAATACAATATACAAAGATACAAAGATATACAAAGATATCTAGGCTACAATAGTTTCCATAGTTTCCATAAAATTGAAATGAGTTTAAAAAAATCATTTTTTCTTTCAGAACAAGCAGCAGTTTACCAAAGGCATCTCCATCGACTAGTAAATCGTCATCAGCATTATCGGCTACTACACCTTTGTCAATGTCCAGTAAGGAATCTGAATGCTCCATATCATCCGATATTGTAAATGACTATTCACCATCACCAAAAAGTAAGTATATATTACATTATTCATATTATACATATTATTCACTATTATATATTACACTATTCATTTCACTATTATACTATTAATATGTAAAATTAATTAAATAATTAATTAATTATGTAATTGTTAAATTTTAGACATAAAATACAATAAAAACAAAAAATATGCTACTCATATCGATGAGTGCATCCTCGATGCATTGAAACTTCCACTGAAACAATCCGATGCAACAGATGGTTTCTTATTAACATTGGGAGAAGGACTGCGGAAACTTCCTTATCGGCAGAGAACCGAGCTGGAAATGAAATTTTTGTCAATGGTTATGGAAGCAACTACCAATAATGAAACCAATGAATAGATTTTGTATGCTTTGCTTTTAGAGGACACACTCTACACAAACATCGTTCTATCTTTATCATTCGTTGAATGTTAAGAAGGATAGAACGACGTTTGTGTCGAGTGCGTGTTTGTGTTTTGTGCGTGGTTTTGTGCGTGGTTTTGTGCGTGTTCTTGTGCATGTTTTTGTGCGTGTTTGTGTTTATGCGCACATTCCACAGTACACAGTTCTGAGATAGGTTAAAATTCTTATATTTAATATCTGTTCCTAATATTTCTCCTATTGTGCGCAGACCCTAAAGCCCAAGACACAATGCGAGGGAATAGCGATAGCGAGTTTCAACTTATCAGAAATCGAATACACCGGAATACACATTTTTGATAGGTTGAAACTTATTGCTATTGCTATTTCCTCGCATTAGGTGCATCCAAAAGCACGACCGCTCACTAAGCGCTCAATGAGCTTTTTTATCTGATTGGCATATTCCATTAGATCTAAAAATATTAACCAAACAGGTACAAGAGTTCACTGAGCGCTCAGTGAACTCTTGTACCTGTTTGGTTAATATTTTTAGATCTAATGGAATATGCCAATCAGATAAAAAAGCTCATTGAGCGCTTAGTGAGCGATCATGCTTCTGGATGCACCTATTGTGTCTTGGGCTTAAGTCATCTGGATCATTTTAATGTAAAAAATTATATCTATACGCATAAGATTATTATGGCTGCGGTCGAGTTGCCACTACGAATGCTTTGAAGCGTTTCTTGATTGGTCAGTTTGTATAACTCTTTCTTTTGATTGGTCAATCAAACGCTTCAAAGCATTCGTAGT